ATTAAAAGTCACACCACAAATACTTAACATACGCTGAATAGATAAGGCTAACGGAATGCATTTTGAGTACACATCCGGTAGTAGCCTGTGTTATATGAGTTGTAAATTCTCTCTTTTTTTTCATTTTTTATTGTTTTTTTTTTTTTCATTTGACCTTGCAATGGCACTAGTAAATTCGGACAGCCATGGTCACTGATCTGACCGCCCCTCCCCCTTTCTCTTCCCTCTTTCCTGTTCCTTTTCTGTGGTTTTCACGTTTCCTCTTTCTCCTTTTCGTTTCTCTTTCTCCTCTCCTTTTTTCACTTTTTTTTTACTCTGATATTTCTGTTTTTTCTTTTTCCTTTTATGTGTTTTTGTGTTACTTTTCTGTTTTTTTTTTCTCTCTGTCTTCTTTATTGTTTTTCTTTTATCTCTTCCCTTTCTCTCCTTTCTCTTTCATTTACCTTCTTTACTCTTTCCTTCTCCTATATCTCTTTTATCTTCGTTCTCTTCCTCTTCCTCCGTCTTCTCTCCCTGTTTCCTCTCCTCACTCTCTTTCTTAACTCCTCTCTCCGTTATTCACTCTTTTCCCTTCTCTTCCACTCTCTCCCAAAATCCTTCCTTCTTACCCTCTCTTCATCCTGCTCTTCCACTTTCTCCCAAAATACTCCCTTCTTATCTTCTCTCTACCAATCCTCTCACCCCAACTTCCCCATACCCCCCCTTATCCCTTCTCCCCTCCCTCTTCCTCCCTCATAACCTCCCTTGTCCTTTCCCCCTTCCATTCCCACTCCCTCTCACTCCATCCCACTAGCCATTGTCCCCTCTCCATTCCCCCTCCCTCCAGCTCCCACCTCCCACTCCCTCCCTCCACTCCCACCCACCGCCATTGTCCCTCTCCCCCTCCCCCTCCCTCCCTCCCACCCTCCCTCCCTCCCTCCTCTCCATCCCTCCAGCCACCGTCCCCTCTCCCCTCCCCTCTCCCCACTCCCCCCCACTCCCACCTTCCCACCATTGTCCCCTTTCCCCCCCTCCCCCTCCCTCCGACTCCCACCCTCCCACTCCCTCCCTCGAATCCCACCCTCCCACTCCCCTCCCTCTCCATCCCTCCCGCCATTGTCCCCTCTCCCCTACCCCCCACTCCCTCCCACACCTGTTTTACTTGTATATTGTACGGGCGAATCCCAGGGACAAATTAGGGGAATCCCCGTTTTGACGGTGCCTCGCCCTTGCATATTGTTCGCGTCACAATAGAAGGGTTAATTATTTTGACAGTGTTAAGGAGGGTCAGGATAGGCTGAGGTGGGTGGGGTGGGTCGGTGGCGGGGTGGGTTGGAGGAAAGTTTTTTTCTTTCAGGCGTGGGTTATCTTTGATTAATAAATGCATTTAAAAAATAGATCTATGTTTTTTGTTTTTGTTCTTATCTATTATTGGACTTTTTTTTGAGGGGGGGGGCTTCTGTCTGTCTGTTTTTCTTTATTTTTTTATTATGTCTTTCATTTTCTTTTCTTTTTTCTTCGTTCATCTTTATCGTTGCCTTTTTCTTTTCTTTTCTTTTCCTTTTTTCATCTTTTTCTTTTTCTTCATTTTCTTCTTTCTCTACTCTCGTTTCTTCTTTCCTTCATTTTCTTCTACTACTTAGTTTTCTTTTTCGT